AAAAAAACCCAAACAATTGGAAATGAAGAATAACATAGCTAAAATAACACCCTGGAAAGATTCAAAAGTAGACTACAAGAAGCTGAGGACTGAAGTAGAAAAATAGAAGATAAGGTTTAAAAAAATCATCTATTCAGAGAAGCAATTGAAAAATAAAATTAAAAAGGAGAGTTTAAGGTAGCTTTGGGACAACATGAAACATAACAGCATTTGCATAATAGGGGCACCAGAAGGAAAAGAATCTGAACAACAAATCGAGAAACTGTTTGAAGAAATAATAACAGAAAACTTCCCTGATCTGGTGAAAAAAGTCACACAAGTCCAGGAAACACAGGTCCAGTGAAGATGAACCCAAAAAGACCCACACCAAGACACATAATTAAAATGGCAAATGTTAAAGACAGAATCTTAAAAGGGTGCAAGAGAGAGGTGGAAAGTTACCTACAGGGAAGTTCCCATTAGACTGTCATCTGAGTTCTCAATAGAAACACTTCAAGCCAGAAGGGAATGGCATGAAGTATACAAAGTAATGAAAAGTAAGAGACTGGATGAAGCCGGTTTGGCTCAGTGGTAGAGCATCGGTCTGTGGACTGAAAGGTCCCAGGTTTGATTCCGGTCAAGGGCATGTACCCTGGTTGCAGGCACATCCCCGGTGGGGGGTGTGCAAGAGGCAGCTGGTCGATGTTTCTCTCCCATCGACGTTTCTAGCTCTCTATCTCTCTCCCTTTCTCTCTGTTAAAAATCAATAAAATATTTTTTTTTAAAAGAAAGAAAAGTAAGAGTCTGAATCTAAGACTACTCTATCCAGCAAGGTTATCATTCAAATGTAAAATGAAATTAGTAGCTTTGCAGACAGAAAAAGGCTAAAGGAGTTTATTACTACCAAACCATCACTGCAAAAAATGCTACAAGGACTAAAGTAAGAAGAAACAGAAAGAGAGGGAGGAACATAGACATAAACAAAAATGGCAACAAATAAGTACCTATCAATAATAACCTTAAAAGAGAATGCCTTAAATGCTCCAATCAAAAGCCATAGGGTAGCTGAATGGATGAGAAAACATAACCCATACATATGCTGTCTACAAGAGATTAACTTCAGAACAAAAGACTCACTCAAGATTAAAGGAACGGGATGGAAAAAACTATCCACGCAAATGGAATTGAAAAGAAAACCTGGGGTGGCAATACTCATATCTGACCAAATGGATTTCAAAATAGAGGCCTTAAGAAGAGAAATGAAGGCCACTTCATAATACTAAAGGGATTGATACAATAAGAGGCTATGTTGGGTATATTTGCACCCAACATAGAAGCAGCCAAATATATTAATAAAAACAACTTCTGAAAGACTTAAAGAGATAAATTGTCAGCAATATAATCATAGTAGGGGACTTTTAACACCACACTGACATAGATCTACTAGATTAAAAAAAAAAAAAAAAAAAAAAAACAAGGAAAAAGAGACCCTAAATGGCACACTAGATCAAATGGAAGGTAGAAGAAAATAAACAAGTGGAAGAATATACCATGTTCTTGGATTGGTTGAAACAACATTAAAATGTTCATATTATCCAAAGCAACTTATAGATTCAATGCAATCCCTATTAAAATACCAGTGGCATATTTCAAAGATCTAGAACAAACACTCCAAAAGTTTATATAGAACCAAAAGAGAACCCAGTATCAAGCTCTACTAGAAAGCCACTGCAACCGAACATAGCCTGGTACTCAGGAACAACAGCCATATAGATGAATGGAACAGAACAGAGAACCAGAAGTCAACACAAGCCATTACGCTTAATTGACAAAAGAGGCAAGAGCATACAATGGAGTAAAAGTGGTCTCATCAATAAAATGGTTTTGGGTTCATTAGACAGCTACATGCCAGAAAATGAAACTAGGCCACCAACTTACACCAAACCCAACAATAAACTCAAAATAGATAAAAGATTTAAATGTGAGTCATGAAACCATAAAAATCCTAGAAGAAAATGTTGGCAACAAAATATCAGATACTCCACAGAGCAGAATTTCCACTGATATGCCCAGGACAAAAGAAAGAAAGGAAAAAAGAAACAAATATGACTACATCAAAAAGCTTTTGCACAGCAAAAAGAAAACAGCATCAAAGTGAAAAGGGAACACATTGTATGAAAAAACATATTTGCCAATGATATATCTGATATGGGGTTAATTTCCAAAATATATAAAGTCATACAACTCAACAAAAGGAAGAGAAATAACCCAATTAAAAGAGAGGCAGATGACCTATGATAAATAGACGCTTCTCCAAAGAGGACATACGTAAAAATGCTGTTTCACTAAGCATCAGAGAGATGCAAATTAGGTTACACCTCACAACTCCCAGAATGGCTACCATCAATAAATCAAACAATGCTGGCGAGGTTGTGGAGAAAAAAGAACACCAGTACCCTGATTGTTGGATGCGGACTGTACAGCTACTATGGAAAACAGTGTGGAGTTTCCTTTAAAAAAAAAAAAATGAAAAAGGAACTGCATTTGACCCAGTGATCCCACTTCTAAGAAGCCTGCACACCAATCAGAAAGAATATATGCATTCCTATGTTCATAGCAGAGCAATCTACAATAGCCAAGATCTGGAAACAAGTGCCCATCAGTAGATAAATAGATAAAAAAGCTATGGTATATTTACTTCTATGTAGCTATAAAAAAAAAGAAGGAACTCTTACCTTTTGAGACAGCATGTAGGGACCTGGAGAGTATTATGCTAAGTGAAATAAGCCAATCCGGGAAAGGGGAGGGGGGGAAAGAAAGAGATCAACCAAAGAACTTGCCTGCCTAATCCACGGACACAGACAATAGTGAGGTGAAGTCCTACTGGGAAGGATGGGGTCACCAGGTAAATAAATACACATGTTCAACAAGAACATGAAGATCTGTTGCAAAAATGAAAACAATTCCTTATTTTCAAATATATTTCACATCAGGTGATGTATGTAACTATACATTTGCGAGTATAATTTCACATTTTCATACAAATACAGCTGACCCTTGAACAACAGGAGGTTTGGGGTGCTGATCCTCATGCAGTCAAACATCTTCATATAACTTTTGACTCTCCAAAAAACGTAATTACTAATAACTAGCCTACTGTTGACCAGAAGCTTTACTGGCCACATAAGTTGTCAGTTAACCCATATTTGTATGTTTACATATTGTATATTCTTACAATAAGGTAAGCTAGAAAAAAAAAGGAAAAGTATAGGAAAATATATTTGTAGTGCTGTATGTATTTATTGAAAACCTGCATATAAGCGGATCCACACTCCAAAACTGTTTTTCAAGGGTCAGTTGTTATATGTGAGCATGCAAAAAGATTAGGAAGGATATGTGCGAAAAATAATGGTGGGACTGGGAGTGAAGGTTGGCCAGTGGAATAAATAGAAATAGATAATAGGACATTTACTTTTTATTTTAAACAATTCCCTGCATATAAACAATTTTAATGTCTTTATTTCTAAAATTATGTATATATTAAAAGTATGTGGGAATATTTGTGTGGTAGTGGGAGAGGGAATAATTAGAAACTCCTGCAGAAAGTATTTTTAATTAAAATTTACAGCTGACATCGCCAAAACTGGTTTGGCTCAGTGGTAGAGCGTCGGTCCGCGGACTGAAAAGTCCCAGGTTCGATTCCCGTCAGGGGCATGTATGTTGTTTGCGGGCACATCCCCAGTGGGGGTGTGCAGGAGGCAGCTGGTTGATGTTTCTCTCTCATCGACGTTTCTGGCTCTCTATCTCTCTCCTTTCCTCTCTGTAAAAAAATCAATAAAATATATTTTTTAAAAAATAAATAAAATAAAAAATAAAATTTACAGCTGACATGTATTTTGGCCTAATGGTAGGCAAATCGTAAAAGGGGAAAATGTTACATATTTATAATCTGAAAAGTAGGTTTAGAGCTGAGGCATTAGATTCTGAAGGGGATCTATTATATGGGAACGGCAAAATGCTACAATGTTTTCTGTTTGGTCATGCATCGTGGGCATTTCATTTAAGGTTTCAGGGGAAAGCATTAACATCCTATATAATAAAAGGGTAATATGCAAATTGTCACCTTGACCAGAGTTCAATCAGGGGGCATGGCTGGCCTGCCAACAGCCCAGGGCCCCTCCCCCTGGCCAGTCCCACCCCTAATCTGCCCCACACACCCTGATCATGGGCGGGGCCAGTTGACCAACCTCCCACAGCCCCTCCCCCTGGCCACCCCAGCCCGATCATCCTGATCAGGCTGGGCTGGGCAGACCCTACCCATGCACAAATTTGTGCGCCAAGCCTCTAGTTAAATATAATTCAATGAGAAATTCTTGTGGGGAGCTTAGAAATGTGATCTTCTGGTGACTTTCTGATTACTTAACTTTATTGGTGATTTTTGCCAGGAAGTGATTGATTAGATTATATTTAAGTATCACTTAACAACATTTAATGTCTAAAGGCAGTTACCACTGAAGAGTGGAGCTCAGAAACAGAATTTGAAGATTAACTTTTTCATTATGTAATCTTTTATCCTATTTAAAGTTTTCTATATGCACACTTATCTATTAAAAATATTTTGTTACAATCTCTTTTATGCTTCTTTTGGAAAAAATTACAAGATGTATTAAAATTTCCTTCTAATTATTTTTCCTTTAAAAGTCAGCCGTCAGTGCCCTCTCAATATTCCAGAACTGCTGTGACAGCATTAGCAGTTAGCATGGAGTGGTCCATAGAGACCAAAATGTGCCTTGACCACTTCTATTGTAGAAATTGAGATTAAGATTAATGCATCTAAACTATAAAATTTTTTAAAGAAATGCCACTTTATTTCTTGTACACTTAGTTCACTCAAGTAGTCAACAGTTGTCTGGTAGAACTGCTCTCAAGCCTGTTTTAATTTTTTGTTTGTTTTTCACCAATTCTTTGCAATTAGTGTATTGTATGGCCTTATAATAGCTAGGTTCTCTCTTTGGTTAAAGTTGCCATTGCCCCCAATGGAGCCTTACAGCTGGCCAGTCCAGGCACAGATGGAGTACAGGGACTTCAGACACTAACCATGACAAATTCAGGCAGTACTCAACAAGGTGCAACAATTCTCCAGTATGCACAGACCTCTGATGGACAGCAAATACTTGTGCCCAGCAACCAGGTGGTTGTACAAAGTAAGTATGTTTAAGTATCTATGGAATGTATCCCAAAGTTCTTCTGAAGACACTTATGAATTAACTCATTCTTTTGACCACACAGCTGCCTCAGGAGATATGCAGACATATCAGATTCGTACCACACCATCAGCAGCTTCGCTGCCACAGACTGTGGTGATGACATCTCCTGTGAGTCTTACGTCTCCGACAACTAAGACAGATGACCCCCAGTTGAAAAGAGAAATAAGGTTGATGAAAAACAGGTGAGTAGTGAAAGTATACTGCCAGAATGGTAATGTTTTTTCAGTCTCAAAATATAACCAGGTGTTAACTGGAATTGTATACAGCAAATAAGGAGAGAGGTTTATATCAGCTTTATTTTACTGAATGATTATGTCTGGTTTATTTCAAATGGATCAGTGAGTCCCATTACTCAATTTCTTTATGTAATATATTGACTTAGAGTTCCTTTGAATGGCACTGTTAAGCAAAGCTTTTTCAAACAATATATTTTGTTCTTGTTGGGCTGACAGTTAAATAAAAATAATAATCCACTGCTTGCCACAGCAAGAATAATTAGTGGGATTTTGCCTAATACCTAGTTTAATTACTGACGCAGAGATAGGAAATTTGACATGAAAATAGATCAGTAATTTAACCCCAGAAACATTTACTTTTATTTTAAATGTATTTTAAACATTGCTATATGCACTAAATCTATAAAAATAAGCAAAAGATTGAAGCTAGTAATTGCTTCTGGGCAAAAGGCAGGGTATGGATATAATCAGGGATAGCACAGAGGGTCCTTCAACAGGGTGGATAACATTTTCCCACAGTAAGCTGGGTGTTGGGTTTACATTTGTTCATTTTATTATGCTTCATAACTTACATCTACACCACATCTATGTGTACTATTTCATAAAAATATTTTAAACTACAGTAATTTAGAAGGCAACTTAATAAGGTGTTTTATTTCCTATGACTTGCAATCTTGAAAATAATAATGGAAGTAATATTACATTCAGAATAATGACAGAGTCATAGAATACTTAGTAAATTTAACAGGAAAGGCATAGAATCCACATTTTAAAAATTTTATTGAGACGTAAAACAGTATCTGAATAAACAGAAAATACTATGTTATTTGATTAAGCCATAATAAATGTATTCTTTCAGAATTCATGTATAAATGTAATGTGTTTAAATTAGAATCTTTCTAAATCTTTATAGATTTGGACAAAATAAGCTAAAAGTTTACAAGGAAGAAATAAGTATTCAAGAATGGTCAAGAACAGAAAGAAGTTACTTTGTCTTGTTAGGCATTGAAACATACTCTAAAAAGCCATGTAATCACTTGGTATCAGTGAAGGGACGAACAATAACATTAGCAGATGGCAAAGAGAGGCCAGAAATGGCCTGTGCTGGTTGAGTACAGGCATTCCTCGGGTTACGTCGGAGATCCGTTCCCATAGCGCACCGTAATACATTTTCACCGTAAGTCAGAACCCACCTACACACGCACCTACGTTACTCACATGGAGCACACACACAGCAATAATGAAGTGAAACAGTAAAAAAATTTAAAATAAAGATAACAATCCCTGACCTTTACTTGTGGTAAATACAGTAAATAATAATAAACATATGTACATACGCTGAAATGATGGAACTTTTCTTTTTTATAAATAAAAAAAATGGCGACATAACTGCAGAACGACATAAGTTGAGTCCAACGTAACCTGAGGACTGCCTGTACACTTGTGAAGGATGGCTGATTTAATAAAAGAAACACAACTCTACATTTGAAAGAAAATTAAAATGGATTCCTATTTTTTATACCATGAACAAAAGTAATTCTAGATGTATTAAAGACTTGTGAAAATTAAGCAGTAAAATTTCTAAGATGAAATTTAGAAAATTTTAGTGCATGGCATTTTGTTTTATTTTTAAATATATTTTTATTTATTTCAGAGAGGAATGGAAAGTGAGAAAGATAGAAACATCAGTGATGAGAATCATTGATAGGCTGCCTCCTGCACACTCCCTACTGGGGATCGAGCCCACAACCCGGCCATGTGCCCTTACTGGAATTGAACCCAGGAACCTTCAGTCCTCAGGCTGACACTCTTTCCACTGAGTCAAGGAATAGAGAGACTAAAGAGCATTTTTGACAAGAGATATAAAAATGAGACATCAAATGGTAGATTACAAAATAATGTAAAAACATTTGAAGGATTAATATGTATAATGAACAGAAAGTTCCTAGGTTGTTTGTCTTTCTAATAATTTTTCATTGTAAAGTGACCAAAAAAGTATGAAGGGACAAAAGGTATTCATAAATACGCAATTTATATAAGAGCAGATCCAAAAGACCAACAATAATGTTCTATCTCATTAGTAGTGAGGAAAATGGCAATTAACAAAAAAGGTCAACGTGGCAAAAATCTATGTACCAACATAGAAACATCATTAAAACAGTTTGGGCATAAAATGAATTGGCAGAACCCTAGCTGGTTTGGCTCAATGGATACAGCATTGGCTTGTGGACTGAAAGTCCCAGATTCAGTTTCTGTCAAGGGTACATTCCTGGGTTGCAGTCTTGGTCCCTGGTGTGGGGCGTGCAGGAGGCAGCCAATCAGTGATTCATCATTGATGTTTCTAGCTCCCTTCCCCTCTGTGAAATCAACAAATATACATTTTTTAAAAATCAAGTGGCAGATAATATCTACAGTACATAGTATACTCAAGTAATACTTTTTACTTCTATCCATCTGTGTGTGTGTGTGTGTGTGTGTGTGTGTGTGTGTGTGTGTGTGTATGTATGTATATAAAACTTACATGTGACTTGGTAGAAATATTCTAAGAGGACATATACAAAACTGAGTATCAATCATTGTATTTATTACAGTAAAATGTATTGAAAATTTTTTTCTATAAATTAAAATTAATTTGAAGAATAAAATATGAAAATTAATTTAAAGAATCTTTGGGTCAAAAATTAAGCAGAGGACCCCTAAATTTCCCTTCTTGTTATTAATCCAAGAAAAATAGGACATGTTTACAAAGAGACTAACTAGCACAGGAACATGCACAGCAGCTAAAACATGTAGCAAGCTAACGTAATGGATCAACAAATTGTTGTGATATTCATACAATGAAATATGCCTTAAACTATAAAGGAATAAACCAGCATACAGCAACATAAATGAGCCTTAAAAATAAATTGAGTCAGGACTGGTTTGGCTCAATGGATAGAGCGTCAGCCTGCGGACTGGAAGGTCCCAGGTTTGATTCTGGTCAAGGGCATGTACCTTGGTTGTAGGCACATCTCCAGTGGGATGTTTCTCTCACATCAATATTTCTATATATCCCTCTTCCTTCCTCTCTCTAAAAAAAAATCAATAAAATATAAAAAAATAAAAAATAAACTAAGCCCTAGCCACTGTTGCTCAGTGGTTGGATTGTCCACCCTGGTATCTGGGTTATGGGTTCGATCCCTGGCCTTGGCCCTGGTTGGGGCAACTGATGGATGTCTCTCTTATGTCAGTGTTTCTCTCTCCCCACCTTCCCTCCCCTCCTCACTCTCTACAAATCATTGACAAAAGCATCCTCAGGTGAGGATTAACAACTCTGGTTAGAGCTTCGACCTGTGCACCAAAGATCAGTTTCGATTCCCATAAATACCTGAGAGTCAGGTGCCTGCAGGAGGAGACCAGTCAATGTGTCTCTGGCATCCATGTTTCTCTCTCCCTCTCCCTTCCCTCCCACTCTCTGAAAAGCAATGGAAAAAAATGTCCTCAGGTGAGGATTAATAAAGACAAAAGAAGTACATAGAAAGAAAGGAGACCATGCACAAAAGTACATATTGTATAACTGTTATATGAAGTTTTAGATTAGAAAAATCTTCATTGATGGTGATAAAACCAGAACAGCAGTTGCTAGAGAAGAGGAATGAACCAGAAACGTGCATGAGAGAATTTTCTGGGACAATAAAAATGTTCTGGCCTTGATAGGTGTGTGGGCTATATAGGGATATGTATATGCATTTGCCAAAACTAACTGAATTCTACACTCAAGATCTACATTTCATTGTATATAGATAATTTTTTAAATGAGAGAAAAAAGGATGAGCAGGGGAAATTACTGAAGGGCATTTACCACTTTAAAGAAGGTGAATTTTTTTCTAACATTGTTTTTTTAATGCTTATATTTAGAGAAGCTGCTCGAGAATGTCGCAGAAAGAAGAAGGAATATGTGAAATGCCTAGAAAATCGAGTTGCAGTCCTGGAAAATCAAAATAAAACTCTAATAGAAGAGTTAAAAACTTTGAAGGATCTTTATTCCCATAAAAGTGTTTGATATTTAAGAAAATATTTTTGTGGACTTGCCTAAAAATTAAATGGATTTTTTCTTTTTAGTGGAGTTTTATAAATTAAAAGGTCAAAAATGAAGCTTTTATTTAGGCTTTTGCAACTCAAAGATAAATGTCTTATGCAAGAGAACTTGGGGAAAAAAACGTGGCAGAGGATAAAGTGGAAAATGACCTCAAGGAAGATACTGGCACAACTGGAAACTCTGTAAAAAGCATACTAAAGAAGCAGGAAGTGAACCCTCACCAATCTGAGTTTTCTAAATAACAGTAGTTGTCAATAATCCAAAAATGGCAGAAAAATGAAATTTGGTAAAATTTCAAAATTAAATCTATTTACCCTATAGGTCTGCATTTCATACTGTTCCCTAAAATTTATTTTTTTCAATTGTGTGCGTGTGTGTATTTTATTTCTGCCAATAAATTCTAAATTACCAAAAGAAAAACTATACATAACCAAATATAAATAATTATGTGTTCTGATTACTTACACTTGTTCTATTGTCAAGTCTTTTAAATGGGTTTTAAGTTTGTTTATTGGACTTGACAGCATTTTGAAGAGTGGATTAAACTATTTTTGAGGCCTTATCCTAACAGGCATCTAAGGTACATGAATTGGGGTGTAGTGTTTTTGTAACATTTATTATCAGAATGGAAAGAAAACTGTTTAAAAGTTTAACACTTTTAAATAGTTGGTTTTTGGGGTAATTCTGGGAATGGTGATTTTCTACAAATATATAGCAGATTGTTTTCTGATTCTATATTCGGTAAGCAGTTGAGTATACATCACTTATTCTGTTATGCTTTAATAGAATGGAATGTTTACAGGCCCTTGAGGTGATATTAGAGTATTTTTTTAAAAAAAACTTCTGAAGATGCATACCAAAGTTTTCCAAGAGGATTTTATAATTGATTTAATGTAAGGTTTATCAGATTCTAAAATAGTACAGTTATTAAAGCAATTTTATGCTAGAGACTATTTTGTAATGTAGTGAATGGTACATTTATAAAGTGACTGTCAATATATTTTTATAGCTAATCTTTATAAATTCTAAAGTTGAGTTTTTAATGATTATTTTAAATGTTTATATAGTTTAGTAAAAAAATATTTTGCCTCTCAAAGTATCATTTTTATATTATGGGAAGTAAAGTTTCAGATTGGATAATCTCTGGATTCTAAGTTTTATATACAGTTTTTCCAGAGTTCACAAATGCTGTCAGTGTTTAACTTCTGTATTCCAGTTTCTATACACTTTGAAATTGTACTGCAAAACTATTGTGTGCTTCTTATACAATATGTATCATATTGTTATCTATGAAATTAAAGGATGTTTGATAAAATTAAGTTTGCTGAATGTAAAATACATTGCTTGATATATAAATGATAAGCTCCTGATAGACATTCTGTTAATTATACTAAGTATAATGCATTTTTAGTTTTAAAATGAGGATCAATTTACAATTCTGGTCTCCATAACCTATTTTAGATTTGATTGTATGTTTTGATTTATTCAAAATCAGTTGCAATAAACTAATGAAGTTTTTTTGTTCTACAAGTGTTTAGGACACGGTTAAGAAGCCTGATGCAGAAATATTAACATAGTTGATAAATTTGTATTTAACCCTAATGAAATATTTTACTAATAAGATCTTTCAAAATTAGTTGGCAGCAGCTTATGAGAAGGAAAAAAGTTCGATCACTAGTGGGATTACTTATATCACTATCTTGTAAAACCAGAGTCAAACTAGTGGCCCATTGGCTTGAAGAATAGGAGGAAGTAAGAGGTCACTGGGTTATATCAAGAATTTTTTTGTTTTTTAACATAATATATTGGGGTAGATGTCATGCGTGGCTGCAATTGAGATAATGTAGTCCTTGGTATCTTAACAGTTGGACATCCATAAATATTTGTAAACTCTCCACTACCTGCAGACTTCTAGTGTAGGGCCTTGCTCACTAGATCAAGTTACTGTAGTCTTGCTGTATATATTATAACAGGCCTGGGAAAGCCACTGAGGATTCTGTTAAGTGCATACCACATTATTCTAGATGTTTTTCTAATTTGAATCCAATGTCAAGCTAATGAAATTTTAAAGGTGATTATAACCCAAACCTGAACTAGAATTCAAAAGTTCAATAGACTTAGTGCAATTACTTTCTTAGCTCAGAACACCATAAATTATATGTTGATGGAAATACCTTGCCCATGAATACATCTTGAGCATATACTTAAATTTTATTGACTAGAGCATGAAGAATGGATATGTGCTAGAAGCTCTTACTGAAACTTAAAAATGGAACTGTCGTATGACCCAGAGATTCCACTTCTGGGTGTATTTCCAAAGGAAACCAAAACACTAATTGAAAAGAATATGTGCACCCCTATGCAGCATTATTTATAATAGCCAAGCTATGGAAGCAACCCATATGCCCATCAATATGGAGTGGATAAAAATAGCTTTGGTCCATACATACAGAGGACTGTTGGCCATAAAAAAACGATGAAATACCATTTGCGACAACATAGGTAAGCCTAAGGATTATTAAGCGCAATGAAATAAGTCTGAGAAAGACAAATACTATATGATTTCATTTATATGTGTAATCTAAAGGACAAATACATGAACAATTGATGCAGACTCATAGATACAGAGAACAGGGGAGGGAGGGTAGGGTGAAAAAGGTGAAGATTAAAAATTAAAAATTGGCCGAGACCAGTTTGGCTCAGTGGCTAGAGCGTCTGCCTGCATGCAGACTGAAAGGTCCCGGGTTCGATTCCGGTCAAGGCATGTACCTTGATTGTGGGCTCATCCCAAGTAGGGGGGGTGCAAGAGGCAGCTGATCGATGATTCTCTCTCATCGATGTTTCTAACTCTTTTCCTCTCTGTGAAAAATCAATAAAAAATATTTTTTTAAAATGATGAATAGTGAAGACAGTATTAAAAAAAAATAAAATTTAATTTAAAAAAATAAAATCAAAAACAAACAACAACAATGTAGGAGAGAAACTTCTATTGGTTGCCTCCTATATATGCCCTGATCAAACTGCAACTTTTTTGGTGTCTGGGGCAATGCTCCCCAAAACCCAGCCACCTGGCCAGGGCTGTGCCTTCTTTCTTGTCTGTGCTGAAGAGTGAAACGCTCTGTTCCATTGCACAGTAAGTCCTCATATTTCAACGTCAATGGTTCAGCATGTAAACGAGTAAGGAGTTAACATCTCATCAACATTATAACAGGACAATGTTGAACAAAAAGTTATTCAAGGACCTGCTGTGCCTTTATGCACAGCTTTGAAAGATTTTTTAAGTTCTATTTAAGTGTGTCCACTAGATGGCAACCTCCACTTTAAAATCACAGAATTTTACAAAGAGAAGTAAACACATAGGAAACTACACAAGTTAACATACAATCTTGTACACCCACCATCCAATTAATAAGTGTTAACATTTTATCTTTAATTCAGATCATTTTCTGAATAAAAATGCACAGATGAACTCCCCCCTTCTCTCCCTAAAGGAAACCACTACAATGAATTTAGTGGGGATCCAGTCCATGATTTATTTTGTCTGCTTGTTTTTCTTTATATTTACTACACGAGTCCATAAATAAAGATGTCAGATTATAGGATTTTTTTTAGAAGTTCATAAATGATCCCTTAACAATATATCATTCTCTAAGTGAAAGGTCAGGCAGATAAAAGTAAACAGGGTTTTAGCTATGGTAATATAATACTTTGTGGGGGGTTTTCTTTGAGGGGGAGGGGGAGAAGAGTGTTAAAACCCCACAGACATCCACTACACAAGGCCACTACCAATTCCAGGAGACATAGCAGCTCTACTAATACATAGAAACAAACACAGGGAAGCAGACAAAATGAGACAAATTTTTCACAAATGAAAAAAACTGAATTTTCCAGAAAAGATCAAAATGAGATGGAAGCAAGCAAACTACTAGATATAGAGTTCAAAATGACGGTTATAAGGTGACTCAAGGATTTTAATGAGAACTTCAAGGGACTTTCAAGAATCTAAGTGAGAATTTCAAGAACTTTAGTGAGAACATCGATATAAAAAAGGACCAGTAAAAAATGAAGCATAAGCTAACTAAAATAAAGAATAATTTATAGGGATTCAACAGTACAAGAATCAAAACAAATGATATGGAATATGAGAAAGCAAAAAAACCCAATCGGCAGAACAAAAAGAAAAAAAGAATCCAAAAATATGAACATAGTATAAGAAGCCTCTGGAACAACTTCAAGTTTATTAACATTCATATCTGCGAGTACTGTAAGGAGAAGAGATAGGGCAAGAAATTGAAAACCTATTTGAGGGAAAATTTCCCTGATAAAAGAAATAAACTTATAAGTTCAGGAAATGCAGAGAGTCCCAAACAAGAGGAATTCAAAGAGAACCAACCAAGACACATAAATAAAATGCCAAGGGTTAAAGACAAAGACAGAATCTTAAAGCAGCAAGAGAAAAGCAGTTAGTTACCTACAAGGGAGCGTTCATATGACTGTCAGCTGATTTCTCAACAGAAATGTTGCAGGCCAGAAGGGAGTGGCAGAAATATTCAAAGTGGTGGATAGCAAGGACCTATAACTATGATTACCCAGCAAAACTATCATTTAGAATTAAAGGTCAGATAAAGGGCTTCACAGACAAGAAAAAGCTAAAGGAGTTCATTACCACTAATTCAGTATTATATGAAATGCTGAATGGTATTCTTTAAGAAGAATACCATTTAAAAAATATATGAACGCTAAAATGACAATAAATACATATCTATCAACAACTGAACTTGAAAATCAAAAGAATGAGGAATCTAATGAACAAAATAAACTGATGAGTAAAATATAACTAGAGGCATAGAAACATGCAACAGACAGACAAATCTCAGAGGGAAGGGGGTTATGGGTGGGAAGAGATTAATCACATATCCTATATGCATGTATGTGTTACCTATGGACACAGACAATCGGTGGTG